CTCATGGACCTTGTAACTAACTCGAAATGAATATCGCATGTGCGCAAGCTTATTTTCATACCGTGTAGACAACGTGGTTGGAAATCGATTTTTATATTTGATTTTGTAATCAGCATAGTGTGTAGTATGCTGCTTCCAAGAAAGCGCCAGGACGATAGAAGAATGGATTCCGACGTTCGAATCCTCAAAAAAAAAAAGGGAAAAGAAACAACGTCGGATCGGAACAACGTTGTTACCGCGAGTATATGTTATCGTTACGCGCGGATTGTAGTCTAAAGAAAAAGTATCGTTCGTTAAGGTATTTTATGTATATTCGCACTTTCTTTTTTTTTTATACGGTGCTACTTTTAATTTAGCGTGCATAATTACTGCCACGATCGATGCCTTCTCATTGAGTATTATCGATGTAAATAGGACTGATCACGTTGATGTCCGAACACGATAAGCTTCGAGATCGGCACGATAACGTCGAGATCGAAATTCACGATTAATCTGAGCGATTCTGTGTGAGAGCTATCTTTGAATAAGTCTCGAAGGATCACGAGATGCTTCTTGGATCCTTTCTCTCTCTCTCTCTCTCTCTCTCTCTCTCTCTCTCTCTCTCTCTCTCTCTCTTTCTTTCTCTTCCTCTCTTTCTCTCCATTTTTGAAGGAGAGTGTCGCTTCGCTCAAAATGGCAACGTGGGTCAACGAACGAAAATTTCTAGATAAATTAAGCTATAAATATATATATTGTATGTATATTATTAATCAAATTTCGTGGGGCTGGGCTTTCGAACGGTGCGGAATCAATAAGGGTAACGAAGAAATAACACGAACGCAACTTTGAGTGAGAGTAACGAGGGGCAAAATAGTTAATTAAAAACCTAAAACACAAGCTACCGTGTCGCAGTGGTGTTGTGTACAAAATAATAGGAGGGAGAAAGACATACGCATACACTCGTGTTAAACATAAAATGGAAATCCTATGTACGCCTTTGTTGACATTTGTATTCTCTTTTTGTTGATAATTCTTTCTCACGATAAAGAGAATATGCGGCAAATAAATATCGATTCCGTTTCTTGGGAGACGGTTTCTCGTTGTTGGCGGATCCTCCTCGGCGGGGTGACGCGTATTATTTACGCAATGAGGGGAATGCCATACGGAAACGATAGATAATAAGAATTCTTGTATAGCGTGTGATAAAATGTGATTATTTATAAATAAATTTCTTAGGATAACTCGTACGTACTGCCTCCGAGCATTTTTTTTTTTTAATTTGCCGTATCGTATCGACCAATTCCCGAACGCAGCATACGATTACTTAATTGTGTGCGCGAACGATCTGGCCGATCGACTTTTGATGAACACGATCCATAGATCGGAAATACGTCGGCAATGGAGTTAACATCGCATTAATTGTAGCGCCAGGAGAAGTTTAATTTAATAACGTGGCGAAAACGCGCAATACCGGTGCCTCTTGGAGACAGTTTCGAATTAATTTTGATCGTCGCGGCAACGCGGACTAGCCTGCCCTTTGTTACAGAATAGTTGAGATACAATAATTTTATCGCTACTGTTACATGAGAGCGAGCGATAGAATGACAGGAAGTGAGAGTGCGCGAAAGTGTGGGATGCGAGCGTACGTGACGTATTTAATAAAATTCAATCACACCGAGATATTTCCATGTTTCTTCCGTTCCTTCATTTTCAAAATCTTATTTTATATATCACTGTCGTTTAATTTTTTCTTCTCAAAAATTTAAAAGAATGGAATTATTACGTTGTTAAGGGAATATCAGACCTTCTCCCCCCTTCCACATAAAATATATTTTTATCTACGTTTCATTTTTCTCAAAAGGAAGGGATAAAGGAGTAAAGGAATGTTAAAAGGAACTTGTAAAAATTTGTAAAGATTCATACATACATCGTTCCAGACACTTCATGCGACATCTTCGTTTTGCTCAGCATATGCGCCACATTTAAAAGCGTGAAAAACCAACAAATTTTTTGAATCTTGTATTTTTTACAACTTTATTTTTAAAAACAAAGATTGTAAAATTAAAAAATCGATTTTTTTATTTAGTCAAAATATAGAATTAATACAGTTGTATCACAAATATGAAGTTATACATATATGTATATATATATATATATATATATATTGCTTTCTCTTAAAAACATAGCTTTAAAACTTTATGCCACTATGCGTAGGATTATACAAAACAGTCTTTTACTCATTGTTTTCTGCCGTCACTCCCCGAATTTACAAGGATTAACGGTATCTATTATGAGAATGCGCTCGTCATGACTGCGCACCCAATTGAACATTCAAAGAACGTCATTGAGGCTCGCCGCCTCCTCGTTGCTGCAAAGAGACAAAAGTTGCCGGCAATAATTTATAGCACCTCTTTTCTGTGATCATAGGATGGATCGCGAACATACTTCTCGCAATACTTCAACCCATGACTTCCATTGTTAGAGTAAGATTCGTACATGGCACCGTCTAGTAAAGAGGACTTGAATTTTGGCAGAAAGTATATCCAGGCTTTCGTCGATTCGCTGACCTGAAAGGAGTGCGTTCGTCAGAAGAAAAATATAGATGCTTGCTGTATGTATTTTGGCAAAAATAAAAATCGGAGTGTAAGCTGAATATAAAAAGAAGAGTGACAGAAGCCCAAATAAAGCTTCTAAGAAGTGAAAATTGAGATAACAAAACGTAAAAGATGTGTTTATGCTTCTTTTATGTTTCATTGTTTCAAATTTCGCTTCTTAGAAGTTTCGTTTAGCCTTGAGTCACTATTTCCTCTTTCGATTTACGCTCTGATTTTTATTTTCGTCAGGATGCGTAAGTCGATAAGTTCATTACCTCCTCAAAGATTTTTCCAGGCTTAAGCGCAGTCTCTGACGCCAGCAAAACTGTTTCTTCCGTTCGTTCGTAAAACTGTGGGTGTTCCTCCAACGCGTCCAATCTTTTCAACATCTGGGAATCTACATCGTATATCTCTCCGAACACGTACTGTTTAAAAGAAATCTTCTATTACGATTGATATTACGTAGCATTACTCCAATCAGAAATAATAATGGAATCAACGTCGATTCGATGTCGATTCCATTATCATTTTCTGATTGGGACAAATAAGAACTTTTTTAAATTGAAATTAAAATCGCAAGCAGTAAGGATATAATTAAAGTGGACGGTAATGAAAGATTTAAACCAATTCAATTCAAAGACTTCCCCTAGCACAATTCATTGACAATACACCGTAAACATTAGCATACATTGTATGAGTATATTAGATTAATATTGCGCCAATAAATTGTACTACTAAGTTCTTTTTCAACTCACGTTGCCAGTATTGGGTTTTTTCAGCAGAAACGGGATGTTATACTTCGTGGCGATCACCAAAGGATACTGGACCGTTGTTTTGCCGAGGCCTAGGAACTTGGCGTAGCCATTCGCGGTGTCCTTCATGAGGCTGTGATTCGGCTCGCTTCGTTTCAACGTGCCGTACACGAATACGCGGTGCAGCGGACTCTTGAACAAGTTTTCGTACATTTTTGAAAGTCGCAGATAACCGGATTACACGTGACTTCCGGCTAACATCATTGCGCCGGTGGATTGTCGATTTCGTGTCGATTTCGTCACGCGACTCAATTCAGAGATAAGTTTTATCGATAAGAATTACACCAAGACCGAATTATTATTTCGTATGTTTTATAGTAGCCCCGGAATGTCGAGACGAAAGAAGATTACGAAAGACTATTTTTCAAAAAAGTATTTTTCGAATCTCTCGGAGATCGTTTGAGATTTGCGAGTCATGGATTCGATCATAAGAAAACGGTGAACTTAACATTAACGCACACAGTACAATCGATATAACTAGTCGGAACACTCTGCACTAGTTTGCGTCGGCATCTTTAATCTTCACGTGGAGGTCACGTGATCATCTTACTTAATGTCACATCATCTTAATCCCTTATCAGGAATATCCCGATAAAGGAATATTTATTTTTCAAAGATAACTGTAAAACATATGTTCGCATTCTGTTTCGTAGAATCTAAATCAGAAACAAAAAGCCAGTGATCCAAAAGTCTGCGACCACACATTTTTGCGCATTTTCTCGTGGAGTGTTTCTTGTACTGGTTATATAACATGTGATACAATTATGCAGCATAAAGCGGCGTTTACAATGAGATTTTTTAAACATAAGAAATTGACCATAGTCGAATGTGAAGAAAATAAAGCGATTATGATAAGTCAATTTTTTTACGGCTTAAGGTTTAAAGTTTTACGCCTTAAAATTTCATTGTAAATGCAGCTTAAGATGACGCAACAAATAGAATATCGACTAGATGTCAGTGTTATCGATTGGCGCGATTATTTAAATTTAGAATTATCTCCGCCATACAAAACATTATTTGATTCCTAATGTAAAGTCAAATAGAAAGCATGAGTAGAACTTTATTTTGATTTTATCAAATCATTCTTTTATTGCATGCACATTATTTAATAAAAAAATACTTTTTTTAATTCTGCCGCGACATACAAATTACTTAACTCCACGATTTTATATTTCACTTTTATTTTACTTTTATTACTCTTACACACGAATATTGAACACACACGAAAGTAGCAATCACGGAATGGATTGCAATTTTAATAACTTGACAGAAAAATGATTGATTTCTAAAACTGTAAAATACAACATAAATGCGCGATATGGATTTTACAATATTGTATCGTACTTCGTTATTGTAACGTCGATGCGACTTGTTACCTCTGATAAGAAATCCATATCCAAATTCTTCTTCGATGGAAGGGAGTAAAAGGAATCTAGCTCTATAATAGCGATATTAACGAGAATAGCAACGGTAGCGATGTGAAGCAACATTTTCACGAAGTGCAACGACCGAAAGTGACAATGCAGTCTCGTGGTAGCTCATGCTCGGAGCTCATGCTCGGATACAAAGGGTATCGTGTACTGAGCATTGTGAGATAAGATAAGATTTTCATCCAATAAGATCTCCGAATAATTGCATCATTGATCATACCACTCCTCACGTGTGATGAGCTCAGTTGAAAAATCACGAATCTGTAGAAAAAAAGAATTTCTAAAATAATAATTTTGCTGGAAGAAGTTATGCGAAGTCAGCACTGGCTGACTGAATGAAATTGCAGACAACATTCTTTATGCAGTATTCACAATACAACCCATTCTTTCAATCTCTTTTTCTTACTGATTTCCTCTAAATAAATAAACTGTAATAAATAAACGAATACCTTCCTACAACAATGTGTGATGTTAACTCACGTAACTTGCACATCTTCGCTTAAAAAAATTGAAGTAAAATAATCTTTGTATAGAATTAAATGATTAATTAAAAAAAATAAATTAATACTGATTTTTGAAGTGTCGATTAAAAATATTTTAAATAGAAAAATATTAGAAATAAAGAAGGTTAAAGAGAATAATCGATTAAGAGAAATTATTGCATTGAGTTAACCGTACACTGATTCTGCTCCGTAAGCTTTCAATCGATGCGATGGAATCTTTGAAGTCTTTAAAGTTCATATCTTGCAACGTTTGATCCTTCTGTCGTCTGCGACGCAAAAGTTCTTGAAACATTATCCAGTCTTCATCTTTCTCGATGTCATTACCCTATATAATCACAAGGACAAGAAAGTTGTAAAGTAAAAATATCTTGAATATATTGGCACTTCATATGAGGAGCAGATTTTCAAAAAGCGTTTTGTCCAAAATTTGTAATTTTCAGGAAATGAGAAAGAACGAAACTCTGCACACAAAACAACATTACGTACTTTACAGAAAATAATAATATGCCAATCAGTAGGATGTGAAATATTAATTGCTAAAAATATTAAATAAATGCATTTTGTTTGTCTTTAGTTAAAAAACATAATGCACTTCGAAATGTATATTTTTGTCATATAAATTAATGATGAAAAAATGCTTTCTGAACATCTCAGAGTAGCTTAAACTTATAATATGAGTCTTTCAACACTGAACACTACGCCATTTCTATTCCAAAAAATAAAATTTTTGACAAAATTTGGCATTGAAAATCTGCTCCTTATATGATTTAAAAAAAGATTACCTCCAAAAATACATGCAGCAACCCTCTGGTGTAATCATCTAATAGCATATAACTCTGATAGTACAGACATAACACCAGTTTCTTCAACGTTTTATTCGTCAGGCGATTAACTAGATATACGTGATTTGTAGTAATAAGTTGTTAGTATCTTAGAAATCAGCCGATATGTATATGTATTAGGTGTTGGAATTAATTCGTAGCGTTTTTTAATGAAAGAATGTTATTTATTTCACATGAGCATTAAAAAATACATTAATGAAAGTACTTCCCATCACTTGTAAAACGCTACGAATTAATTCCAACACCTAATATAATATAAAAGCAACTTACAACTTAGACTCAAATGTTGCAAATTCAAATTTCCACTAGTTATCACGCAGTTGTTTATTGCTATTGTTTCTCTTGTAAATGGATGACCAATATCGTTGTCCGAAAGCTTTTTTGAGATCTATAAATATATTTTATTATATTTTACACTTCTTAATGATACATTACGGAACATTAATGGTGTATTAAAGAACAATAATAAAAATTCTATTAGAAATACTTGAATAGAGCTGTTCGATATCGACGAAGAATTAAGTGGCATTCCCATCTTTAATGAACTATCTTGACTCGCTGCATTTTGAAAACTATCATGAAACGAATTTTAAAACAAATTGCAGGAAAGCGCTAAACATACTTATTCTTTTAGAATTTTGATGCATATTTCGATATTGCCGTGTTCCATTTTCTCTCCATTGTTCCCTTTCTTGAGTATCTCGACTGTCCAACTGTAATAATAATAATAATAATCATTAATTTATTAACAAATAAAATAACGGCGAGATGATCTATCAACCTTGCTCTCCAGCTTGATAAATCTGCGACGTCTAAGGCCGACGATTTCTTCGTGAGTCAAAGAGGACCTATCGCGTCATATCATTAAAGATAGCGGCCTAAATTAAGAAATTTGTCTAATTTAATCGCTACTGTCAAAAATATACATGACAAGTTCCTGAAGTATCAGTGAAGCGCCGTCATCTTGTATCTTGTTTCCAGTTAACACCACGCTCTGCAAAGATCTACGAACATGTAGCGAACGTTACATTTTATTAAAGCTACTTTTGCGCAGGGACAGATTAATGTGAATTTCCATCAAACTGGAAATCTGAGAAACATTTGAAAAGTACATAACCGATTAGTTCGAAGCATCTCAGCGATATACTCGGCACCAATGTCTGTAATATCGTTATCCGCCACATTGAGAGCGATCAATTTTGGCTCGTTTGGTGGATCCTGATACTTCAACTCGTTTGCGATTTTTTGTATACCGTTATCGGATAATTTACACATCCTCAGTGATAGATAGTGTAAACTGGAACATGCATTTTTTCATATAATTTATAAATGAAGCAAGAATTATTGGGTCATCTAAAAAGTATCCGCGGTTTTTTGTCACTAGATGGTGTTGATGGTCGACACATCTAGTGACAAAAAACCGCGGATACTTTTTAGATGACCCAATATATTGGACGGGATTTTATTGAAATTCGCGATGCACTTTTTTGCCGGTGCGCAAAGCAGGTAATAATTTTCCTGCGGATTCGGATTGTCATCTAGATTCAAATCGTTCAAACATTCCAATTCCGTCAGCATGTGTGCTATCAGCAGGATACCATAGGCATTTATCTGACAACTGGGTAATCTAGAACACAATCAGCATTGTCACAATGTCAAGTTACGTGATCGATTTTCAAATTTTGTCTTACTTAAGCACCGTGATAGTGTTATATTTCTGCAGCGTAGTATTCAGTGCATCGAGGATGCAAATCGACACTTCCTGTCGTGCAACATGAAAAACATTACAGAGCACATAAAGGCGAATGTCACAATTAATTGTAAATTTGATAATTAATAAACATTAGTGTATATTCACGACTTATCTTTACACTCTAGTTTCCGCATAGTCTCCATTTTTTTAGGATTTTCGAAAGAAACGTAAAAATTAAGGATATCCTCGTCCATTTTGACTCTGATTAAAATAAACGTGAATTTCAAAATCCGAACATTGAATAGTTGGAATACTTGTAGCAAATTTAGGATTAGATGCTTTAATGCGTTGATGCATATTAAAGCCATAGCACATTGAATCTAGTCTAAGTGTAAAAATGAAATGAAAATATCTTGAATGATAAAATGCACCCTGAAAAAATCACATCATAAAGTTACATATCGAAATCGTGCAATTAAAATATGTAAATTACGTAATAAATTGTTTCAAATCAGTACGTGATTTTTAAAATCACGTAATTTGAACGATGATATGTTTTTCTTTTCTTCTATTTCTATCATATAATTATTAAAAATTTGATAATTATAAAATCATATAATGATTTAATCATGAAATTATTTCTAATATCATGTGATTTTTTTAAACTACGTTATTTAAAAAAATCATGTACTAATTTGAAACAATCTGTTATGTGATTTACTTGTTTTAATTACATTATAGTTATATAATTTCGATGTGATTTTTTTCAGTGTGACATATTTTACCAAACGGCACACAAAAAAGTGTATTGAAGATTTCGCAATTTAATATATTTATGTTAAATACACATCAATTTACATTGATTTGTGTACGATGGCTTTAATGTGTCAAATTAGTTTGTCAAATTCGTTATTACTTTTCTGATTCAATCTTCGTGTATTGCTCTGTGCCATCTCTGATCTGTAAAAGAACAATTTCTATAATAAACATTAATTATAAACAGGTTTCTAATATGGTAATATTTATGGAAATTTACTACAAAACTAGGTAACGATTCTATGTCGTATTCCTCGCAATGCGTCAAAAACTCCGTAATAAAATTTTCTTGAGAACTCCTTCTCGAATAATCTGTTATGACAAATAATATTAATACAAAATTTAATGTATTATTTATTGTAATAATTCTACAAACGTCTGTATTCTTCTTTTAACTCCTTATAACTTTTTTAACAAAAATACTAACTGTTTATTGAGGATTCTCGGTCTTTTATTGACGCAGCGTTATTACTTTTCCCGTTTGACATGTTTAACCTCCTAATATTGTTTGTTTTTGCGATTTCTATTGTGATAGAAAAGAAACAAAATGACATAAAGCGCATGAAAAAGCGTTCTATATATAATGGTCGCTTTCAACAGGAGTCAGCATTTAATAAATGCTTTGTGTCGATTGGATTATACTTTTAAATCTAAAGAATAATTCTATTTCAACGAAGGAAATTTCCAAATGTTGTAAAATAAACATTATACTGCTGAACACTATCAAAATTATATATATATGACGAATTCGAGATTTTAAATCATGAAATTAAAAAATATTGATTTACAAAAATTTGCTTATACATATTTTGTATGAGGGGATTTAAAAAAATTATTTATTTATTTTTTACACAAAAAAGTATTATTTTTTACAATAATTATATAATAAGTCCCTCTCTTTTTCCAATACATTTGGTGCATTTACAAGCTTTTAAATATAAAAAAAATTGTTTTTTACAATTGTTGGGTTACTATTATTATAGATTTTTTTCAAAATAGAAATTCTTTATTTTTAATATTTCGTTTTATAATCGAAACAAGTCGACCTTTTATACGACGCGTTATATTCGCAGGGCAATGGCGCCTACGACACCCCTTATCGTGAACATGACATGTAATCTGATGCTTGGGAAATATAGGGGTGATCAACCCCTATGAAGCCACGCGTAAAAGAGGGGAAAAAGGGAGAGATGGAGAAAAGCCTTCGGGAAAAGTATTGGACGAACTTTGATGCGTGGTTGCGTAACAGGAGGCGGCGAAGATCGAGTCGCGCGATAAAGACTGGCTCTGTCGGGCTTTGTGGGATTAAAGTCTGTAATTATATATGGACGCTGCGGACGATTATCAAAATGATTTGTGTCGGGGCCCCTAACGGCGCCACAAATGGTGGCCGTGAAACTCTTGGGTTCGATCGATGACACATCTCGTGCTATGATGGAACAAGCTGTGCTAAATCGATGTCGCGCGTGCTTGACCAATAAAACAAAATTAGAATCATAAATCTTTATAGGGAGGTAGAGAGAAAGTACCGTTAAAGAGTTTTTTTATAAAAACCTAATAAGTCCAAAAATTAAATTTTCAGGAAACAAAAAGTCTTCTCATGTTCGAATCATTCAAAAATTCGTGATAAAGCTTTCTCTGACACATAAGATATAAAAAAAAAAAATTTAATTTTGATAAGTATTTCAAAGACCCCCTCCAAAAAATAGAAATTTTCGGACTTGTTTATTCTTACGAAAATTTTATATTTAATTATATTCTTACATTTATCTTTTTTTTTTTAACATTTACAATGATAAAGGTAAAGAAAGAAATATTTGAAGTGTAAAACAATTCTTATATTTTTTTGTTTCATTCTTGCTGGAACAAAATTACTCATCGCTATTGATAAAGAACAATTTGACGCCGTAACTCATTTTTATTTTGAAACAGATATATTTGATCTTTGAGGGAAATCCTTTTAAATCATACATACGTCGTGCTAGTTTCACAACTGCCGCAGATTATACCCTCGAAAACTCCTCCAACTTGTCAAAACATCAATGAAGACTTTGACTCGCTCTTCTAATTTTTTGACATAATTACACGTTAAACAATAATGAGTATTCATCTGAATAATTAGGTCACTGTCGAATTAGAATTGCACATTGTCGTATGTATAATACAATTCGAATTATGAGAGTTGCAAAGTTATTTAGAATACATGTAAATTACACGTTTGCCTAATTCTGCTGCATTTTTTTAATCCCGGACGCGCCTTCGAAAGTTTTCGTTATCACAATGAACGAATATTCGCTGTCTCGTTTCGTCTTGATCCATCTGCTCGAAACGATATTTATCATGTCCGATTCTGCCCCCGCTTATACATGCGGCGGCTGACAAGTTCGCGTCTCGTTATACCGCCGCTTCGGCGAACGCCGTTCTTACTTCTTCAGTCGTGCCCTGCGCGTCCAGTGAGCTGCACGCGAGGTGGATTATGTGCGCGTTTCGAGTCCGCGATTAAACACGATCGAAGAATCGCGCGTGTTTAACCGAAACGATAACTTCCGGTATTCGATACGCGATAAATCACGAAACGTTACTCGTCGATGAGACGCCGGTCTTGTCCAGAAACCGCGCTGGGTTAAACACGGAAGACGGGCGGCGAAAAGTAAGCCCACATTGTTCCAATTATTGTCGCTTTTATTACTTTATAATTGCAGTTTCTTAATTGTGTAATATTACTCTTAAGGAATATCGTAATTTTGAATTTTCAACCAACGTTCTCCGGGAAATTTCTGACGGAGGAATTTCGATGAGACGAAAAGTAAGCATTGTTCTAATTATTGTCGCTTGTATTATTCTATAATTGTTGTGAATTCTTTCTGGTCTGTGTAGTATTATTATTATATAATTTTCTAAGGAATTTTCTAAGGAATTTTTCATTCTCCAAAACAGCGTTCTTCACAAAATTCTCGACGGAAGAATTTCGATGAGACGAACAATCAGCCACATTGTTCAAATTACTGTTAATTATATTATTCCATAATTCTAGTTTCTTAATATTATATATTATTTAAACAATATTGTAAAGAACATAATAATTTTCAATTTTTAAGTAGCGTCCTCCACGAAATTCCCCCAGGGGAACTTTCGACGAGAATAATAATTATTTTGCACGAGATCCTCGAGTTACTCGGAGGAGATCGGAGTAAAACAAAAATTTACTTAAATTTTTATTGGCTGCGCCAATCCATTGGGGATTAAGGGATTATCATTACGAGGAGTAAAGATTCTCGTCATGCAGAATCATCGTTCGCTCGCTCGCGTTCCGCTCGAGTCTCTCACCGATTGCATCGATTTACGAGTGTTTACATCACGATGTCAGGGCGCGCCGTAATCACTCGGTATTATGAATTATGCACCCCGGGGTGGTTTCGAATTTCTTCTCGGTCCACTTCGTTCCTCTACACTCGGAGACATGACTTGCTGTCCGCGCGCGATCGTTAATATTAATTTCGGGCGGCGCTAAATTGGTACAAATTGCGACGTCAATTAAACCGCTTTGTCGTTGATACGTTTCATGGACCAACCGGCAAGTTTCCATTACTCTGGCTGGTTGATCTTATTGTTCTTGTAATTCTTCGGAACGCGCTTGATTTTTCACGTTTACGTTTGTTTAAAAAAAATATTCGATGAGTGATGTAAAATAAGATATATAGATGAAATTTAATTTCCAAAGACCAAATCATGATGGAATTTGATTTTCCTCGTTGCTCATTGTCAGTGAAATGGGATAGTCTGTTGACAAGGGTATTCGTTGCAATCGTTGTATGAGAATTTCACGATTTTTTATAGCTAATACTAAAATATATAACATCATTCGAAATAAATCGCGACTTCAGAATCGTAATAGTTATGATGAGATATTTTATTTTATTTTATTTTAATGACACGAGAAAGAGAGGAAGGAAATTTAAATTAATCTTATGTTTTTTTCCAAGTTTAAAAATTTTCGCGATTCTCCATTGAGCAGTTTTTGCATCGGGCACGATAAAGCGCAAAAACTTGGAGAGATCGTCCGAGATCAAATCGTATTTCCAGATGTTGCCGATGCAACTCGGTGCAGCCGGTCGATCGCTTGTTACCAGCCGCTTGTAAATTCACCTTATTCCTTTTTTTTTCCAACGCGGAAGGGGACTGCTTGCTCTTCTTTTTCTTTGAGAAAGGAATGCGAGCGACTTGCGTCTAGAGAGCGACTGATGGAACAAAAGGGTGTTCCCCGCTTGAGAACCGGGTCTTTTCTTTTCGACTCTCAAGTGGGTCAGAGCAATGGTGGTACATACGAGACACGAAATGATGAACGAATCGAAAAAGTTAATCGGAAAGATACGAGAGTACTTGATAAGATTAGAGGAAAAGAGAGATTTCAGAAAAATGTTATAATATATTTGTACATACAATAATGATTATTGTTAGTAAAAATCTTCAAAGAATTGCATTCTATTCGCAATCACTTCATCGTTGAGATACGATGAACGACTGTTAAAAGCACCAATTGATTCAGATTCTGTGATGCATAGAATCTTTCACATCCCTTTCCGAGTGACGATAATGACGTTTCTTATATATATATATATTTTTTTTTTCATTAAAAAATAAAATCTAAATGATATTCCCTCTTTATATCTTGAACAAAAACGGTTGTACCAAATTAGAAAAATAAAATTCAAGTGATACTATTTTTCATTAAAAAAATTAATGATATGAATTTTTATACCTCTCGAATAAAGAAACTGTATCAAAAATTAATAAATGAAACTCGTAAAAAAATAAAACTTAAATAGTAATATCTTCACTTCAAGTTTCTTGCAGTAAAATCTCACTCCAAGAAAATAAAAATTAAAATACAATCACTTTTCACTTCTTGAAAAAGTGTGACAATTTTTAGTCACTTCACTTCAAAGGAGTGAAATCTCACTTTTTTTGGAATGAGATTTCACTGAAAACAAAAAATTTAGAGTGTTTGCATTCCATTGAACAGTTTTCTTATTCTAACTCAAATAGCTTTAATTCTTCTTAAAAAAAAAAAAAAAAAAAAAAAACTGTAATGACATTGTATTATAAAATTGCGAGAGGGACGAGCAGGAAATTCTCCGAATAATGCGAATGTATAATATTTTCGTCCTCTGCATGTTAAAGCGACAGTGATTATGAATCGAAATCGTAAAGTGGATTCTCACGAGTGTCACGCCCACTTTATCGGGAAATCCGCTCTTCTCTCCTTCGAGAACCTTTCGAGAACCCTTCCTCAAGGAGTAGCGTCACGCATGGGCGCGCATTATTTAAGTCGACGTCCGTGAACGATCATTAAAATGCACCGCGTGTTTCGTTTTCACGCAAATGCGCGAGCCGACCGAACACGTGGCGAGCTGGCAGAATAATGAGCTGTAGGGAAGAGTAATGACCGCCAATCGAATCGGCTACTTTTACGACGACGTCAACATTTAATACGTTTCCTGATAAGAATAAAAAGGAGGTAAAGAGAATATATAAGTTCCATGAATGTCTCGTCCAAACGAGAAGATGGGGAGGGGGGGGGGGAACGAAGAGGACTCAACTTTAACGATTTTACGATTGGCTTTCTTTTTGATCTCCGCTAGAACGTTTCTCATTTCTGATTTCTGAGAATTCTAATTTACAAACAGGATTTATTTGAAACAGAGATTTTAATTTATGGAAGATACAGTTTCGTGTAATCTCGTATCCCTTTTTAGCATGTCGAGCTTGTATTGTCCGTCGTGAATTTTTCGCTCTTTCGCAATCAAGTCGAACGGAAGTGGTAGTAACCCACAGAGGAAAAAGCAGTTGAAACGTTTTACATTCCGTGGGTGTTTTCTCTCATCTCTCTCTCTCTCTCTCTCTCTCTTTCCTTTCCCTCCCACTCTCATCGGTCGTTCTTCTGTCTATTGCTCTTATCTTGTCCTTTCTTCCTAGCCTTCTCTCCACGCTGGTTCGAGTCCAGCATAGCCAGTCGCTGTGTCATCGAGGTCCGATACATCATAAATATAAATTGGCTGGGCGTTCGTGCGTGTGCACGCATAAATGAAGCCGCCTGCGTGCGTGCGTGCGTGCGTGCTCCCGGCAATGTTAGAGAATGTTAATACTATCCGGCAGCGATGCTCGTCAAAAATGATAAACAAATTCACAATAGTGAACCAGGAGTTTCGTATTAACACATCCTTTCGTAATCACAGGAATTTAACAGGGAGAGTAATCAAGAAGTATCTAATTTTCTGCGAGAAATCACTCTTCTCCCTCTTTCCGCAATTTATATCAGTAAAATGAAATCTAACAAAATTCGTTATTTTTCTTATTCAGTTCTGTACGCGTTAATTTTTGATCTTGAAACGAATCTTAAACTGAAACTGCGATGATAAACATCGCAAATTAAATTAATAAGCAATTTAATGATATCAACGATGATAAGCATCTTAAAAACTGGGAAGGATTTTGTGAAAAGTATCATCATTTTTTTATATTACAGAATTAATGATAAATTTATTCTTTGGTACGAACGGCTTGATAAACATAATCTGTCGCCAAAGATATTTCTGAATCCATCGTTGATTTATCTTACTTGCAGAACCGGCAGCGGCGGCAACGTCATGATTCTAAGTGCGTCGTGAAACAACGAGATCGCGTGAGTCTTGCAGGAGTGCGGAAATAATCTCGATTTCGAGCAACTGCGGCGATTAACGGCGTTCGTGGAATCATCGTTTCATGGGTTCATCGTTTCAGTTACAACAGTTTCTCTGCGTTCGATCCCTCGTTTCGTCCTCACTTTCTCTCTCTCTCTCTCTCTCTCTTCTTCATATTTTTGCTCTTTCCTTATGTTATCGATTTCTTTATTTCATTAATTTTACTATTACGTACTTTTTTTAAATTAGATTTCTTTTTACTTTGTATCGTTTTTAATTTCCTTCTTTTTTTTTCTTATTACTAGCGCTTATTACATATATTTTGCGCTATATATATTTTTTTTTCTTATTACTTTTTCTATCGAAAGTCGTATTTATGTATGTTTTTTGCCTAATTGCATCAACGTCACTTTGACTTTAAACGATACTTAAAACTCTATCTGTCTTAGTTTTAAAGCCGAAAAGAGACAGAAAGAGTTTCAAGCCTCATTTAAAATCAAAGTAACGTTGGTGCAATCGGACCTAAAGGGCTTATCTTAAAGTAATAATATATGCTGAAGCATCATCTCTCTCTCTCTCTCTCTCTCTCTCTATTTCTCCGGAGAACTCAAACTCGTCTCATCCATTTCGCTTGAAACACGACGAGCGCAGGAAAGCATAGCTAAAACGGGCAGACCTAATCGTGCTGGCCTTGCGATCGCCTTCGGCGATTAATGCCGTGCGTAGAAATATGCACGCAGACGCGGGCGGCAAGTGTGCAACTTCCTGAGGCACGAGATAAGCTCGTTAACAACAAACTTGTATGCGTGTACACCCGAGAGTGCGGCAAGTGCTGCCGATAAACGCAGAGGATCATTTTCAACGCGTGTCCAATCTAAACACCATATACGCGAACTATGTGCGTGACTGGAAGTTCAAGTAACGCAAGGATAAGACCTATCATGTTACAAAATTTTACAATAGTCGCAAAGCTTTTTGTTGTAAACGCCATTTTGCATTTCGACTGATACGACGGTGCGTTGTTCTAAAAATGCCAATAATATATTTGAAAAATAACATGAGGCTCTATGAGGGTAAAAGAATGTAGAATTAAATGAGGGCAAAGAGCCAACGACATAAATAATAAAGAACACAATATAGTAAACAAAATAATAGCTGTAATAATTACATATGTTCCGACTCCGATCGGGTCATTTCAATGTTACAAAATATAAGAGTAAAGACCTTAAAAACAATCAAATAAATTACATTAGTTCGTTTCTTGTTAACTATTTAACAAAGTTAGGGTTCGTCGTGTTGTTAAACCAAATCAAATTATTTGACAACATTGTTATTCTCTAAAAATACAAGAAAAGTAGAACATAAGATTTTCAGCGCAATTATAATCACATCTAATATCTATTGTAGTCCGAAGTGTTGTATAAATTGTGATATATTAGTTGATAGAGAGAAAAATATTCGTTTGGTAGTCAATATTACAGTCGTATTCCATTCTTTTATGTAAATCGTGAAATTAGAATAAAGTGAAGACAACTTATCTCGTCTGACAATGCCAAGAAAGAAAAAAACATCTACTGATTAAGTTACAGTAAAAGTAAGGAAGGGAAGAAAAGGGAAAGAAAGCCAATAATATATTTTTTTGTATCCGCGAAAATTACATATCGATTTAGAAATTAAAAATCAAATTTGTTGTACGATCGTACGAAGATTTTTCTCGATGGATCGCTCGCATCGCTAAAACCTATTGGCGGTTATCTTAATCGGGTCTTCATAGTTAACGAGAATCACCGTTAGGCCTTAGGATCGTCGTCGTCGTTTCTTAATTATCCCGTTGTTAGAATTGCGGTCTGCAACACCAGGCACGCTTATCACGCGTGAATTCTCACACTCGGAAGCAATTTCTTGCGTACATTGCGCACTTCCGGCTGATCGATGCCGATAATCGTCGCGATGATGAACGACAAACATTTATTACAGGCATGTGAGCGCCTCATGTTTTTTTACACACACATCCTGCGAACTACAAAATTTCAGGATATTCGTGATATCCATCTTATGATCGGTTTTTTTCCCGCCGATGCAGACAACTTCAATCTCGATTCAATTTGTTCTTCATCCTTTTTTAATTTTTAAAACTGGAAAAAGATGAAGATTAAGTTAAATTGAGATTAATCTACATCGGCGGGAACAAGCATAAAAGATGGATATTTTGAATATCCTGAAGTTAATAAAGTATATACATGAAATATATATTTTAAGATCTCGTAAAGTTCCACGTTCTTACGTACGATAATTTATATTACTGTTTATTCAAAATAAAATTGTATAATTCTCTTTTAGGAACGTTACTTTAAGTGTGGCAATAATCAACTGGCATGTTGAGCTCCACTTGTTGGTTACACGCCTCATGTCGAATGACTCACAGAGGCGATTGGAAGTCTAATTACGTCTCATGTAGATTTCCCTGGATGGAGGGAGATCGGTCGCACGCTTGGCACGGGTCTAGGATTGGTCGATCGTTTAGAAAACGATCACCTTCGGAATTGCGATAAATCACTACGGGTAAAATCGCTGGTAAGCGAGATTGGTTGGCGTGGTGAAGCTACAGTAAAAAAAAATAAAGAAAAGGGTGATTCACCTTCTCTCTCTCTCTCTCTCTCCTTCTCTCCGTTTCTCTTCCTCTCCTCGTAGACTGGATCTCGAGGAGAATTAAGGGAGAGGACAAAGACAAGAGAGCACCTGTCCAACAGCTGCCTCACATATGGCGCACTCGCGAGATTACATAAGGAGAGTAGGTGCCTTGTTTTCAAACGCCGCGGGTAGAGGCCCCTCTTGGAACAATTAAGATGATCCGCGTCGCGTTAATCCCGTCATCGACGGGATCCTTTAAGAGAACCACCTCCAGACGAATGATTTCTCTTTCACGACAGCTTACGACCGGGACGTACTGTCTTCCTTTCCGTAAGCGATAAATTAAAATTCCGTTCCTGGATTCTTTACCCTCTCTCGCCAAGGATTATACAGTACGTTCCGGATCCTATTATAGGACCGTCTGTGGGTGGCATCTGAATCTCTCATTCGGCTCACGGCGCTCACGCATCTTCGCGGAATGCAATATCGTCCCTCCTCTTTTCCAGCCTCGTTGCACAGACGCTTCGACCATTAGTCATCCACCAATGGGTCCTCTGTCCGGTAACTCACGGCCGAAAAGCCGTAAGTCAACGGAGAATGCTAATAATCCGCTTGTAAGCCCAGATCTCTGGTGTCTGCACGGTCGATCTCAGCACGACGCTGAAACCTGTCCTCTTCTCGCGAAGAGACGCGTTTTTAAACATTTACACGGAGGGAAAAAACCGCAGTGAAAAAAAATCTGCCAATGGATAAACGATGGTAATTAAAGCGGGGACACCAAGTTGGGAAGAGAGAATTCCGTGAAAATTTTCACGCCGCAGGCGCCGAGATCTCGACGTCTACGAGTTTCAGAATTAATTCCACGACTCGATGGCTCGCGCGCACGCGAGTGCGGTCTTGGCGAAAGGGGGTATCGCATTATGGGAAGGCGTGGCAGCGCTGCACGTAACAATAAAGCCGGTGTAATTAAAATAAAAAGGATAAGGAAAAATGAGCAGCTGCATGCTGTCGGGCAGACAGCACTCGGCACTCTCAGCAGCCGGCCCACGCAACGAATCTCCAATGCAGCGCCTGTCTCTCTCTCTCTTCGTTTCGAGTTGCATAGATTGTCAATTGAACGATTGAGCTACGGTTCATTAATTCTTAATCACGTGCGAAGGCGGACTATCGAAACAAGGAGCTAAACGCGATGGAAAATCGCTTAAGTGGAAGCGATAACTCGCTCGACGATGGCGGCGCTAATTAAGTATCGTTTCATTATTGGTGGATTATATCAGGGGGATGAGAGGTAGTTGGTATTTTTTTCTTTTTTATATAGTTATTTGGAAACAATGCTTTAACAGTTTGAAAAGTAAAGTATTTTTATATGATTCGATTTTTATATGATCAAAATGCTGAAGAGATTGATTAATCTGGTTCAAAGGAATGTTTTCTTACGACACCCTCGCGATGCATCAACGTCTTAAAGAGAGAGAGAGAGAGAGAGAGAGTCATTTATGTTACGAGGTTCGAGACAACGCAAATATAAACAGCGATTAGGGGGTGATCCTAAGTAAACACGTTCTGTGAAGTGGTTGCGAGTCGCAGGCAGAGAGTGTCGGAAATAAAAGCGACAACAGCACTGAGTGCCAACGAATTTCTTTGATACTATTCTTTGATAATACTGTTGAATGTTTTCTTCTCGATAATTGATTTGGGTCCAATTTCGAAGTTTGACGTGCAGCTCGAAGAGACGAATCTTTAAACTCACGAATACTTATGAGATTGCACAAAAAATTCATGGTAGAATTGATAAAATGTTCATCACGAAATATGTAGAGAGATCCAGGTTCGAATTCTGGTTGGGATATTTTTCGTAATAAGTTCTTTACAGCGTTTTAAGATATTCATCGAATTAATTAATTGGTATTATTAAATTGCTTGTCAATTATTATTATTAATATTATTATTATTAAATTGTTTTTAATTTAGGACTAGTGTTGCAAGTTCAACGAATAATCGGCACGCAGTTTAAATTGGAAATTGTAAGATTCGTGCAGAAATATTATTAGACATCCGCTTTGATCGATATGATATATTTTCTTCGCTTATTTGTATTAAAAATTCAAAAGCACTCTTTTTCACGTTTGATATACAGATTGCATTTTGCCTTGTTGATTCGTTACCGCTGGAGATCAAAGTAAACCTTTCGATTGGTGGTGAAGAGGCCAGGATGATTAAAGTTTGTGGGTTTGAAGAGCACAAGGGAAACCTTGAGAGGCGCGCGAGAGAGAGAAAAAGAGAGAAAAAAAGAGAGAGAGAGAGAGTGATCTCGAGCAAGACGTGTGGCATAAAAGGAGAAAAGGCGCCGCCCACGAATATGCTGGGAAGAGGGGCTATTCCGGTTGAAAACTAGGACGAGCAGTGATTGATTTGAATTAATCTCTTTCATCGATCATCTTTTTAAAAGAAAAATCTTCATTAAGTTCATATTAATGCACTCGCGCATAAATAAATTAGAAAACGCTTAACACCCTTAACCACTACTAATAAAATTATTCAGGAATTTTTCTCGCATTCCTCGTACGAAAGAAACGTACGTTTGTTAAGGTATCTAAAAATTTATTAGGCGCGCAACTAAGTTCTCGCTGTTATTTTGATGCATTTTCATCAAAATAACAGCGAGAACTTAGTTGCGCAGCTAATAGATACAAATCTGAATGAAAATTTAAATTTTTAGATGCTGCTGCAAAATTATTCTTTCTGCGATCAATCAAATTCGTCGCAAGTTGAAAATTCCTAAAATTCAATTGAAAGAATATAATTAAATTCTTCGTAAAGTCTTACTTTAATCTATGCTGTTCCAATCGAGAAAATTACTGGCGGCACTTTTGAGAGACCGCTATCTCCCGGGACGACCGCAAAGGTCTGATCGCAGAGTCGATCACGAACGAAACGGATGTCTTACGGCGTCCGTTTGTCGGTGATTCCACGGTGTCGTGAGCTAGATCCGAGGGTCGAGTGATTTCTATATAGGCGAGGGGCACCCGTGCCCTTTCACGATTTCCGTGAAATCAGAATAAAAAGTTGGTAACTGTTGGCCGCTGCGCCGTAACCCGAGATCTGTGTATCCTTCGTGTTTCGTTCCGTATCGCAGCCGCGCTTTTAATGCTCGCGCTCGAAAGAGAACCACGAATAACAACGACGCGGCGTTTTCCACGAAATACTAATATGAGAGGCATTTATTCGTTCACAGTCCCTCATTAAAAACGAATCTCGGTAGAGGCCTGTTTAGCGGGAATTTGAAGAATTCTTAACAAATGAGAATTCGTTAAGTATGTCAGTAATTGCAATGTTTAGCGTCCAATTGAGTGTAGATGTAAAATTTATCACGGATTGATATGCTGATTTTTCCAGACACGGTTTCGAGCGATCTAAGAATGGCATAAAGAATCAATCGATCGGCAAGCATGTGCTATGTGATAGTCACTGGACGCAGTCTGTTATGGACGCTCTTATCTCTGGCAGCGTTGATGGCAGTTTTATCAGGCCTCATCACTCCCAGATGGCTTGTAGGACCACCGACCATTAAGGACACAAGTAAGTAGCTTCTCCGATTCAAATAAAGTATATGTCGAAATTCTACCTCCCGTTGTTTGTTATCGAGATAAATTGTAGTGAATCATTAGAATCATTTCGACCAATTCCGATTAACTTAATCGATCAGCACTATTTTATTAAATAATACGAATAAAATTATCCAATTATATAACCATAAAATATAACTATATAACTGTAATACCCAAGCAGAACAAGGATATTAAAAACAATAAAACTGTCCATTAGAAATATTGTTTTAAGTTAATTGTCGTTGTTAATTTAAAGATAATCGGAGTGTGTCGAAATAGCCCTTAATATCGTCACATTCATTGCCTCAAAACTTTATAGAAAACGGCACGGAACTATATACACCAACTGTCGGGATCTTCAATCGTTGCACGAGATTATTCGGCAAGACGCACTGCGCGAATTTCAACGTCGACGGCTTTGCGACGGACTCCAACGTCTTCCCGGGATGCTGGAAGGCGTCCCTGTTTTTCTTGTCCGCGGGCCTGGCGGCGATGTCGGTGACCGTGATAGCCGCTTTGCTCGGATGCTGCGTGCAGAGCATCGGCCGCAAGAGCATCTTCAATCTGGCGGGAGTGGCGCAAGCCGTTGCCGGTAATGTTGCCTCTTCAACAGAGGCGAGGATTGAGATGATGGGATGACGAAACGATGAAACCCCCCGACTATAAGCTTCTTAGCTCGCGGCTGAAATAATCCTTGAAGTGATGGGCGATGTTTTTCATAAAGAGATTTGTATTTCTTTTTCTTTCACGCGTGTAGTAGGATTTAGATTCCAGCAATTCTTCGTAAGAAACTTATATACGTTTGCTCCGATATATGTACATATAAAGCTTGTTGGCCTTTTCTCAGCGTGACATTAGTAAGAATGACGTTAGATCTCAGAAAGCAATGATCGCTTTGTTGCAGCTGGGTATTCCACGTGCGTAATGTGCTTTCAGTCTGACAATGGTATCTCGAGAGTGCGAATGACGCAATCTCCATTGTGGCGAAAGGTTGTGCCCGGAATAATCAACGAATATATATATATGTATATATACATGCTTTAAAAAGCGATCTCATTGTCACGATTCTACAAATCAAATAACCGGGAAACGCATCTGTGCAAAGCGTACTTTGTATTATCGTTCTAGTCTCGCACATTGATTTTTATAGGAATACTATATCTTTTTGGGATGATTCTGTATCCTGCCGGTTGGGGTGCTGAGAGAGTACAGAGGATCTGCGGTCCTGAAGCCGATGCCTTCTATCTCGCAAACTGCAGTCTTGGTAAATTAAATTAGAAAATTATAAAATTAGTTTTTCGGTCGGATTTCTATATTTTTCTTTAAGAGATGGTTCTTGAATAATTACAGTTATAAAAAATATCAGTTCTAAGAATTGTGGTAGCCATTGTTTTCTAAGCAAAACAGGTCACGATAGTGTAAAAGAAATCGTGATTTTTGAAATGAAAAATGAAAACTTTCAATAATCTTTTTGGAGCTATTTTGATATTATTTTGATGTCATCATGATTTTTTTTTATTTAGATTCTCGTTTACTACACAAAAAAAGTAAAATAAAATTAGACTAGTGTTGACTGAATTAAATAAAAAAATCTACAAAATATAAAAATAAATAAATTTAATTGTATAATTAATTACTAATAATAATGATATGATCATTATTATTAAATCGATTATCAATTTAATGTACTAGATTATTATTCAGTTTAGGACTGCGTTTCAAAACTGACTGTGTTGACGCGCAGTTTGAAGTGTTGGAAACTATATATAAATTTACTAAAAAAATATTAAGATCCAGTCTCGCATATATAAAATGTTTTCTTCTTATTTGTATTAAAAAAGATCGTTCTTCCAGGTTGGGCGTTTTATAGCGCGGCGATCGGTGTCGCTCTCACCTTCGTCTGCGCCGCTTTTAGCGGACAAGCAGAGAAGTCGACGGCCAGTGACAAGGTCCAGGACAAAATGAACGAAGGAAAGACCCTAATATGCTTAGCCTGAGCATGCAAATAAAATCAGCGAGGGGTCTGGCCTCGCCGTGTAATGGGTGCTACGGTGCGAAGCGTCGAAATGAAATAGAAGAAAACCAGTGCAACCAGAAATATTCACCTCGTTGTGTTCATCGCGCAGCAGAATGGAGACGAAAGTTTTATCGTGGTTGAAATTGTTGCACGAATAATTTAATTATGGGCTTGCGAGGGAAATGGACATTATTGCTGAATGTCATACGCGACGTATTGTACGCATGAAGATCAAGTATCGGATGTACTTACCGTCTTCCCACACTTACTGCCGCAATTTATACTGACGCCTACGATGCTCTGCAGAGAATTCCTATTTTATATCTTATACATGTTTTTATATGTAAAGAAAAGTATAAAATAAAACGTGGATGTTTTTCGTTCACTCGATGTGAATAAAGGTGAATGTATTCTACTGTCGCAACGAAAGAATATATCTAATGATTTCTCAACATTTGTTAACTCTATTAATTTTTCACGCTGTTTCCAGGCACACCTGATTGATAAATATATATAATGGAATTTATTCATTTTATTCTCAACAAATTTCGTGAAATTCAGTCGAATGATATAACTTAAATAGGTATATGTATATGAAATTATCGGCTGTCAGTCGATTATGTACACACATATAAATAATGAAGGCACCAAGGGAATCAACAATCAATAAATTATCCGGGAATTTGTATGAAAATTTCGAATAAGAAACGAGTGTAATTGGCAATTATAATAAGAAATGTAACATTATAACAAAATCACGATTACAGTTCGTGTGACGACGCGCGTGTGATTATTTACTTAGAGTACGAGTGTTATTTGGTTGATGACTTGCCGTTAGAACCGCTGACCATTGATCGGACGCCGAGGAGTAACGCTATCGTACAACTACGCGAAGAAAAGGGTATCGTATAATGACGAGAGATACTCTTGTCGCAGGAATGTCAAATTCGGCGGATGTGACACGTACGTCGATCACAGTCGGATTCTCGTCGCAGAGATCCGTCACGATAATGAGGATATTATCAGCATCTGCCACGCATTCGCATCCGATATACATCTCTCTCCCTCTCTTTTTCTTTTTCTCGACAAACATTTCGAGTTATGTGCAATATTCCATGATTTATCAAATATAATCATCTTACAAAGAATCAGAAAGTATGTTAGCCATCGAGTGTTCCTGGCGCGATGAATCTCGTACACGCGAAACCTGGAAATATCGTATTATTGAAAAACGGAATTTTCTTTCTGAAGAGAACGGAATTAAATTATACATCCATGTTTCGCGCGGGAGATGTGAGAATGTAATTACATACGGTGATAATTAGAACAATAATAATAAAATAATATTTATCGCCGTAAGACGCGCAATATATACGATAATAAGAATAATAGGAATCTTTTTACTCCTAACTGCTGTTGACAATACCTCTCAATGAGGGATACTTTATCGACGTCTGATAGAAAAAGCTATTAGGCGAACACTTGGCATAGAGTCAGCCTTGTGCAAATGTGAATATTCATTAATTCTATTTACATACATAAGCTACGTAATAAATTGCCTGTCTAAGTTAAGGAAATTGTGAATTATCAAAATGGAATCTATCCTGAATAAATTAGTAAATAATGCATTTTCTCATCAGAAAGTATTATATATATCAAATCATTATATATGTTACAAATTCTCAAATTCATTTCTTTATCCTTAACCTAGACGCGCTGCATCTCTCTTGATTTTTAAAATGTGACTGATTTCCACTAGAGGATTCTTGCAGGGCCACATACCTTCTTCAGTCGCTATAGTTTCTAACATCTGCCGCACACACGCAACTTATTACTATTTATATAAATATAAGTTAATAATGTCCATGAAGAGACACGTAACGTAGAAAAACAATTCGATAAAATGCTACAGTAAATGTTTCCACCTTTCGTTTATAAAACATCTCTATGGACAAGAAGCGACACATCATCGTCGTGTCACGTTATTGCGCTAGAATGCTCAGGATGATACATCGAAGCTCGATGGAAAAAAAGATGAGAAATTTATGCAAAACGTAAACACCTGCCCTTCATTAACGCGCGTGTATATATCCTCTTTCTTATCTGCAGTAGTATTAAATTTTTAGCAACTTCAACACATATTACATGATCTATCTGCTTAATACTTTCCTGTTCCTCGCCGCGCATAACTCGCGTGCAATTTACGCGCGCGTGCACGTAGCGAAAGATAATATTTTGAATGGATAATTATATAACAAGCGAATTTGATTCTTTTTGCCGAAGCTGATTGCATTACCGTCTCGTGTACGAGCTAAGCCCTTTCTTTCTTTTTCTTTTCGCGTTCGAACTGACGGTCTATATACTCTAATATTCCTTAGGAGCCGCAATGACGAGCGATCGTATCGCTCGATCAAACTCGAACTCAATTTATCGTTACGTTTCGGGAGCAAAGATCTCGACGGAATTGTCGACATTCTGCGCGTTGGAGCGCATCGCTCGTCTTCGTTCTTCAATCATTTGTCGTCGTGCTTGCTCCCTTGCCTCGCGCGCCTTTTTATTCGCCTCGCTGTTCGCGGTCGGTTTCGCTTTGTGTTTCGCTGGTATGACTCGATGTTTACCGTTCTGTTGCGAGGCCGACGCGGCTTTCTTGTCTGGCACGACCTATGTGCATATTGAACAAAGTGTTGAAGGTGTAATCGCGAAGAATTAAAATATTATACAAGAATTTGATTTTTATTGAAAAGAAGGAATATAAATTGAAAAATTAGATGTCGATTCCGTATCAACAATAATATTTGCTCATACCTCTTGCCATTGCGACTTCCTCAGTTTCTCTATCTGGTCAAAGAGTTCGTTTACTTGAACAACCTGTAGCATCACCATGTCCCAGAAGCCAGCCAAGTCTTCGTTTGTCGTTGGAAATTCTTCACCTGGCACCTGATTCTAGAATATCAAGATATGAGCCGCTAATTTTATTACTTGTTTGATATTAAAATTATAATAAAATTAGAAATTTTCTTACGATATTCTTTTGACACAATCCTTCAAACTGCTGCATCTTCTGCGAGGCTAACAATCTAGCTTTTCCTGCAGCAGATCGCAGCTTACCAGCCGCCTCTTCTGGCAGTGCAGTATCGCCGCTGGCTAATTCAGCCTCTGCAGATGCAGCCAACGACAGCAGTCTATCTGTCTCTTGTTTCAATAACTGAAAGCACAATATGTATGAATTCTTACTGTTAATATTAGTTTTACATCGTGTAATATACGCATTTATTCTCTAATTACCTTCATAAAATAATGACCATCTTTCTCTTCGACTACTTTTTCCGCTTCTTGAGCTTGTTTCGCTATGTTCGTCAAACTGGCGCTGGATTCTAATACAGGTAACACTACTTTCGGCGCGGCTGGTTGCTGATCAGGTATGCTTTTACTAGTCGTATCACGTTGCGGTATGTCACCTTCTATGGTAATCGGAATCCTTCTTATTACGCTGGTCTGTGAATTTATAGTTGGGGGACTCATCTGTTCGGTTTTCCGCGTCACCGGCGTTATCCTGAAAACGTAAAAGTATTTCGTTGTCAAATAGGAAAAAATTCACCAAACTAATTTCTATTTTACTTATAAAACATAGAGTTCACCTTTGTAATGGCTTTATAACTTGTTCCGTGCCGTCTGTGGGTTTTCTACTACTGACTACAGGGAGCTGTGCTCGAAATTCTGGGCGCAAATGTCGCAGAACAGGCAAATTTTTTAACGATTCCTCCGTGTTCGCGTTGTCTGCCGAAATGTCATTGTTATTACTGGATTTATTGAAACTACTGTCGCTGGTGTTTAGCTTAGTGATGCTGCGTTTGAAGAAGAAACCCTGCGCTAGAGCACCTGGACCGTACAGCCGCTCCACTCGCTGTTGAATAAAGGATTTCTCGCTGCTTGACGAAGTGTTTAACACTTGATTTTCAACTTCTACTGACGAGCCGTTTAAAATACTAGAATCGCTAAACGATGCACCTGAAACTGCAAAATAAATGGAAAGAATTAAATAAAAAAAATCTAAAATAAGTATAAAATATAAGGAATAATATAGAAGAGTTAATTCACTTTCTAGAAAGATATTGGTGCGTACTTTTAAATAATTATTTAACAATTGATATAAAAATATTGATATTGTTTGACGCCAAAATCTTTAAGCTTTTTAGAATCTTCTTTGCTAACAATAAAGAAAATCCAAAATAAAATTTATAAGAAATAGCAAATAAAGGAAATATACTATAATATATAACAGAACTTGCAAATAAGACAGTACAAAACAAACTAACTACATAACGCACATATACCCCTTACATACATCGAAAGACAACAATTGTTAAACATCAACGGTGATGTCATAACATAAATAGAGCTAATGTAACATGACCTATTGACGTGAAAGGATAAATTAAATATTATATTCATTTGTATATCGAATAAATTCGAACAATATTGCAATTATTTTGCTTATAATATACATTTGTAACAAATGTAAATTATATCGGATTACTTGCTTTTGAAAGAATTTTTCATCAAGGACATTAACTTTAACATTGTAATTTCCCGAAATCTTATGATCTATAATTGTGGAACTTTTGAAATTCGTTCTTCTTAATACAAATAAAAACTTGAGGCGATATACGTCGAAATTAATTCGTAATAATAAAAAACAGAATAAGTTTTTAAATTCAGTTCAAAGAAAGTATATGAAAAAAATTACTTAAGAACTATTAGGGAAATAAATTTAGCAGATTATATAATTTTATTTCTCTAATTTAATACATTAAAGTTATTATGAAAAAGAATTTTCCTTACGATTAGTGACGCCTTGCTTCGGAGAGGAGAAACCTGTCCCCATAGACTTGTTCTGTTGTCCGCATGACATCATTGGCGACAATCCGGGACTCCGTTTGCTAGAGGCAGTGCTCGTCCTGATGGGACTGAGTTCGGAAAACGTTGGGTGCAACGACACTGCTTTGTCGACTTCCGAGTAACCCTGGCATGTCATGCTGATCGAATTTCTGCTCTCTATGTACGTCTCAACCTTGCACTCCTCCTTCACGCCGTTCGTGAATCCGTTTTGTCTCTCCATCGCTAACGGCGATATCGATTGACTCTTAGGCGGATATTGGGGCGTCGGAACGTTGAGATTCTCGTTGGATCTGTAATTTTTTCAGATATTTATCTAATCGAGATTCGCGTGTACATTTTACTGATTTCACACGATGTAAAAAGTGACGCGAGTGCCTCACCTGAAACCTGCAGGACTCGTGTCCCTCGTGATCAGCCTCGTGCCAGGACTGCTGTCTCTCGAGCGGAATCCTTCCCTCAATTTACTATCGTACCTGGTGATTCCCGAGTAGCCGCTTATACTGCACGCCAATCCCAAGTAACTAGGCTTCTTCGCTGTCGTCAGCTCTGGCTCGGGGCTGCCATGATGAACATTGCTGGCGTTCAGCTTCTTCTCATCGGGGGTAAGATGTGACTTCTGCAATGTCTCACTGCTGCCGTTTGCCAATTTCTCGGGTGGCGACACCGGTTCACCGTTGCACGATAGGTTCAGACTGTGCAGAGTCTTTTCGGACACGGAGTCCACGGTGTTTTCTGAAAGCGGAAATTTCGATCTAGCATTCGCGAAAATTCTTCGATCTTCTTCGGCTCCTACTTTCAAAAATTAAAAACGAAATATGTAGAAATTATCATGAACGTCACACCGCGCGGTCGAAAGAAATATTACAATCCTGTAAGTTTGGCTGCTCTATTACTATAACGATCACGAGCTAAAGTTGCGTAGATTGAACCGCAATAGAAATGTTTAAATTTGTCGACATTCGGATTCTTCTGTTACTGCTTTTATTTAGGTTCACGAAATCCCACGATTCACTGTACTCTCATTAACGACGAACGTCTGCGAGCCAACTGCTCGGAACTGACGAGACATTCACCTTCGAAAAGCACTGTCGCCCACGTACTATGCACACGCCAGTTCGCGTTATACAAATTTTATTCGCGTCATAGTCGTAACGTGGCCTTATTTCCTAGGAACCGGTGGAGCGGTTCCAAGCTCGCTACGCCGAAACAACCGGATGGAAATTCAGCTTGGTCAGAGTACTCGACTACGATCAACCGGCGCACTTCGCGGAATTGAGATGAGCCAACGACAGTTCTCCACGCTCGTCTAAATTACCGCGACGGTTCTGGAACACTGAGCAGAGACTCTCGCGGTAGAGAGACTCCCTCGTCGATGCCTTCTTGGCAACGACGAGGAAAAGAAGCGTTTGCACTTGGTGCAAACTCGCCTGTAGTCTAAATCCGATCGGCATTTTGACTGAGCAAAAAGCGTCCGCCAATCTGCGAGAAAGTAGCGGTGGAGAGATCGGCGACCCTCACCGGCCTTGAAGCATCGAAAATCTACATGAATTTCGAGTAAAGATTTATAAAATACCTGAGATCGCAATACAAAAGATAAGTTTTTTAAATTTAAGTTAATCTTTTTTCCCGAGAAATTTTACTAATTCGCGATGCATTTGAATTTGTAATTAACGCCCGATTACTTTTCGCAAAAGACCAATGTGAAATATTATACGTATGGAAACAGGACGATTTTAAAGTATCTGAAAGTTTACTAAATATAGATTTAAAAATAATTTTATTGGACCATCAACAAAATAATTACGTAGGACGCTCAAACTCATCATGCTTTAGTTTCTTATATAATTATTTTGATGGCAATAAAATTATTTTAGATTTGTATCTAGCTAAATTTTAGATGTTTCAGCAAAATCGTTCTTTCCATGTATGAGAGAAAACTTTTCTGATTAAGGGACAGTTGTTGGATATTTAATGTACCGCTTTCATCGTCAATTAAGTGAACATTTTTGAATAATTGAAAGAACTGGTTTACAGATAAACTGTATGATATAATCCCATGTTCTTTCAAGTGCATTCCACTTTTTTTTCCGCGGGATGACTTCCTCACTCGAGCGATGCTTCTAATCATTCTCGGCCCGACCGAGCTCTACGAGAAACGATCCTTCTCTTCGACAAGGAAGACTATCTTACAGCAAAGCTATCTTCTTCTTTTTTCAAAAAATCATAACGTTCTTCCTAGAAACTGTAGTATCTAAAAAATCTATAATTTACTTAAAAAATTTCAATTTTTGAATTTTTCCAATTCCCTCTCTACCAAACCTTAAGTTATTTGTATCTACAAATTATCCGATTTTTAAATATTACGAATTCTAAATATCTCCAGATTTCCTTCTTTTGAATATTTTCAAAAGGATACGCAACTTAAGGGGATTGTTAACTAGACAACATGAAGAAATAAAAATAATTCGATCATTTCAAGTAACATTACTTTTATTTCAAGTTATCTAGTGACGAAGTTATCAGTGAAGTTGTCTAGTCAGAGAATAATTTAACCGTAGAACGATTAAATGATTCTCGATAATAAGATGACGATTACTAAGTTGTTATTGGTAACGTGTCACATAATCGTGAGGATTACGTATTTCTCAATGCGGAATAGCCAACCTGATCGGTCGGACGCAGAGCGGTCGACGTCCAGGCTGCAGCTGCCGATGCTCTCCTGACTGGTCATGTTGGGGTGATGCCTGGTGGCGATCTGCGCTGACGGTCGAGGGTCCGGGTCGAGGCGATGATAGTTGAGAGGTTGCACTGCCAGGGAGAGCGGTCTAGTGCGTCGATGTGAACGGATGCCACCGGCTCCGGGTACCGACGACGTCACCGTCGCGGTACAGGAGTCGTCGACGTCCTCCAAACCCGCCACCTCGCCACCACCGCGCCGAGGCTGCCGTTCCTCGTCCACGCGATCCTCGTGCACACTGCACAGGTCCGGTTCTCATCCCGTATGCTGTCACGCGTGTCAGAGCGTTCTCGAGCTCGGTGCGGTTACGATATTTATGCGTGCATATGCGTATCTTAATACATGGTGTGCGATCCTGTGAACGCATTGGTGAACGTATATTGATATTCCCGGCTACCAATTAAAATGATTTCCCCTTAATAAAAGAGGAAATCATTTCTTTTGTGACACAATAAATATTATTATATATGATACTCTTGTTGATAAACTTGGACTTTCAAGGTTCAATAATTTTGATTATGAATTATAGATAAATCTATAAATACAATTCGATGCGATTTTTTTCAGATTTTCAATCCGGAATAATATAAAAAATAAAAATCTGCACTGAAGCTAGATTGCTGAACGGGAAGATGCAAAATTTCACATTATTGACATGTTAACTTTTGTTTTTGAGAGTTTAATCTATCATAGCTCAAGGCCACAAGGGTTTAAAAATAATAATTCGAAAAAATAATAGATTATTTTTCAATATACGTTATTTTAATTAAATTTTAAATCATGTCGACACTTGTCGTCAAGACAATGTTTAACTTTACAAACCATACTAGTCTGTTCAAATTTATTATACAATCATATCATTTGAATCAATATGATTAAAAAACTCTAAAAAAATTTTTAAATAAAATTAATAAAAACATAAATTACATTTTGGTCAAATAGAGCGGATAAAATAGAGCAGGTTAAAAAAAATTGGTTTCTGATTAAACTCTGAAAAAATATCACTTTAGCTCTTTTCAACAAGAAATATATCATGTTGTTCACCAAGTGCGTCTATTATCGGACACTCTGTATAGCGATACTAACAGAAATAGTTTTTTGACACCAAGTAAATATTTCCATATGAGACTTTGACACAGATTGACTTTGGAAAAGTTTTAAAAAGAGTTCAGGAGAGCGACCTCGATTGATAACGAGACGCGTTCTTAAAGAATGACCGCTTTCTGATGGTTTTTATGCCAGGTCCAACGGAACAAGTTACATTTCTCTGTTTCTTTTGTGAATGTCACGTCGTCTCGAAGGAAGCGAGAAAGCGGCACGAATTAGCATTTGCCAGCGACCGCCGCGACTGCTTTTTTGCACATGACATTCGTGCAGTGTAACGGCAATTGATAAGCTATGGTTGGTCTCTGATTGTTTCCTTTCGTCATATATGTATATCACCGAAGGAGCTCGAGAACATCGTGGATGGAAGCTGGTGGCACCGCAATGTGTCCGACGGACTGTCGGTTTCTCGACAGACCGGAGCATTCTGCATGTATAATATTACAGCTGGATGGGACGGAGGAGGGACGGGATCTTGCCGAGAGACTCGACGACATAACGTTGATGCCGGGAATCTCGGAGACAGCAAAAATAGATTTTACAACGGTGTTCCTCCCGGCTACGAGCGGGAGGTCTCGTTGGTCTCTCGGTTTCGTCGCGAGAATTCCCTCAGAATTCTTTCACCGCGGCGCGACGAGTTAAGCTCTGCGACGTGGCGTCAACCGGCCGGATATTCTCATTACCGACGTAAGGAGAGTAATTAACGATATCGAATTCGCATAACTATCCGACAGGAGCGCGGTTTAATGCCTATAACGCGGAGAAATCCGAATGGAAAGTCTTTTTTTTTTTTTGCGGTGCAATAACCAGATTCATGATTTAACGAAGGCAAACATCATACGTTATGCGCAGGCAGTCTCATTAATTTCGCCGTGACTTTCGTGTTTTTCTGAATAATATCAAGACAATGAATAAGACAGATTTTTATTGCCGCGAGTCACGAAATACGTATTAATACCAATTTTTTCGCAAGTTGCATTATAAGGTAAATGTCCCAATGACTAAAGAAGGTATAATCAGTTTTGTATTATTATTAATTAATAAAACCATCTGATAAAATTTGATCTTCTTTTTGTAACACGATAGGATCATTTCCAATGTATTATTAAATAGGCAAAGGAAAACGATGATTTTTATTATTAATTAATAGCATTACAAAAGGAATTAATATTCATAAAACTTTTGTCGATTATTGAAAAATACTAACATGTAAATTAAAAAAAAAAGAAGAAAAGTTTAAGTAAAATTATATATATTATACCATATATATCGATTACACCAATAATTGAATTGAAACTTTTTAAAATTTAATTTTTAGTTTTTTATAATATTAACAAAACATACTTGGACTGCGTTCCGAGAGCGCGCTTTCAGCGTCAATGCATTATTCGGTAAATGTTCAGTGGTCCTCTTTCAAAAACCATCGTTTTTTTTTTCAGTAATAAACAAAACTAGTTATAAAAAAAACATGTATATAATGTTTTAAAGGGAGGGAGAGCCTTTTTTGGAAAAAAATTTTACTTAAAAAATGAACAAGACAACTTTATTTTTTATTTGGTAAATGATAAATTATTTGGTATACTTTAAGTATATACCAAAATATATACCACCTCATCGATACGGCGATAACGTTGAAAGCACGTTTTCGGAATGTAGCCTATAATGTGTTTATTTTTAAAAATTAAAAAATGTAGACACTATGGCTGCGTTTCGACGCTCACATACTGTAAACTTCATTCTATTGTTCATTATATGTGGAAGGAAGATATATAATCAAGCTTACAGCACGTAAATTGTCCAAACGCAGCTTATGTCTCAAGATGAGTGAAAATACGACTGTCTCTGCGACATTAAATTTAATTAATTAAATTTAAATAATTTGTCTCAATAATTCGAAATAAAATTATGTTTTTATTACTTAATTTAATACAAAATATTTAACTTTTTTATTTACCATTTTTTGCTGTTATTAAACAAATATCTGAATAATTTCAAATTTATACTGTTCAAACAATTCATATCATTAATTTTTTAATCACCAAATTTAATTATTGGGACATTTATCTTATGCATGATAAAACCTTCGCCATTGATCTTTTTACCGAATTTTAATGAAAATTAGAAAAAGAATTTTCATCAGAAATGTAATTGCGAGACTGTGAATTAAATATTCATTATCTAATCGGCAAAGAGACGTTTGGAAAATAGTGTTTGAATTTCAAGAATTATTGCAGAGTGGCACCAGCTTCCAGCAATTGATTTGTCGCTCACAGACGAGAGACTTGTGCAAATAGCTCCGGCGCGCAAATTAAATTGTCGGCAAATTGGCGCCGGTGTTAATTGCACGCGCTAATTGTACGAACAGCATCGGTCATTCGCCGCGAATCGCATGGGAGTTATCAACTACAGGTCCATTCATTTCGGTCGCACTTTTCTTCATAACAAACAGACGTACGTTTTGAAGAGAGAAAATTAAGAGATTATCACAGAGTGCGACTGAAAAGAATGAGCCTTTACATATAATCGCGGATCAGTAATAAGCGGGTGCATATCAGATGCGATCAAACTACATGCAATGGAATTGTTCTCACATTGGCGACTAAACTTGCGCAAAAGGAATAAATCGTCCATCAATGATTGTCGCACGTTTACTCGCTCATGTAATCGCGAAAATGTAATGTACATAGAAACAGGGGAAGCTTCTTCGAAACAAATCACACAATATGAGATGTAGTGTCTCGTTTCTCAAACCGTTACAGGCTGTTATCATTTATAAGTACAATTATAATATATAATTGTACGCTCAGAGAAAAACATTATGACAATTATTTAAATGACAATCGTACAAGTTTTACATTATACAAAATTGATGTACGTACATAATTGAATAAATAATTTTATGATTATTACACATTATATACATTAATTATCTACATATAAAACTTAAATAGTTGTCATCTGTATAATTGCTGTCATCACGTCTTTTTCTTTAAGTATGCAATACGTAATTGTACAATAAATAAACCTTCCTTCATTTTCTACATATTCCAAATTATATTATTTTTTAAGACATATGAATATCATATAATGTACTTTCTAGCGCTTTCACTGCCACCGATGTGACTCTTCGATAAAAAAAAAAAAAAAACGCCGAGCTCCAAACTGCACTCGTGCGTGTAATGTATACGGCGTCCATAACGGATTGAAGAAACGAGTCGCTCGTGTAGGTAAGACTGTTCGGTGTTGTACAATGTTGTTTACGATGCGGAAATCGGCGCTGACATAATTGCAAGTTAACGGTTTAAAGTGCAACGTGGGGTGCAGGCGTGCGGCCAAGCAAGACTAAGGTGTGCAAGGTGAACGAATCATGCTCGATCGCCGATGACGATGATGATGGCGATGATAGCAGATAGCGTGTGTTTGTATGCGTGGACGCACGTAGATGGAAAAATGTCAAAGTATTATTCCACACGAACATGTAACGATTCCTACAGCTCGGGAGACCTCGACGTTCTCATAAGGCGACGCTGACCGTGAAGATATTCTGACGGATTCATTCTCACTCGATGTCTATCGAGTGTCTCTCGAATACTAGATTCGTCTCGGTATCATCAGGAATGGATACGCGATGTGGACCGCTGCGTTGCGCCGCTAATGAATCTCGATAATACCTATTCACGTTCTAATCGGTCACCGTGAAACATCTAGGGCTCCAAGGGACGCTTATAACGTATCGCGCGTTGCGTCAATGGAACATTAACTTATCATTGATTAATTGTTAATGCCACACGTTAAACGTCAATTGTATCAATAGTTATTCACTTGAAAAAAATGTGAAAAAAATGTCGTAGCCCACCTGAATACAAATAAAAAGGTGTGTTATTCTCTATGAGAAAAAAAAAACATGCAATGTAAAAGTGCAACGCACGCAATATTAGTTATTGGAGCAACGGGGATCTCTATTGTTAAAGTCTTAGAAATTCGCTTCTTTCAATCCTTTGCAAACGTCTCTTTCTCACTGCCTACCTTCGCCGCCAATGTTTCCAGGGGAGGAACTTGGAGACATTCTTTTTCGCGACCGGGTTCACCGTGTAGGTGCCGCTCTCGATTTTTAAGGGCATCCTTAGCCGCGAA